GAAATAAGCATTTATTAGGTGCCTACTATGTGCCAGGCACTGGGCTAAGTGCTTGATAAATATGATCTCGTCGGGACAGATAATTGACATGCCCTTTCTGGGAGTAAGCTTTGGTTTGGTATAGCTTTGATTATTAATCCCAGATTAAGTTCATTCATTCATTCATTCATTCATTCACTCATTTGTTCTTCCAGAACTGTCCTTTTGGCAGCTTTCTCTGGAAACTGGGACCCAAGAATATCCCAATGAACATAGATTAGATGCTGGTTTTAACACCTCCTCATTTTCTTTTCTTCTATTTCTCATCTCTCCTGTTTCTTGTCACTTTCAAAACTAGTCCTGGGGGCAGCTAGGTGGTGCAGTGGATGGAGGGCCAGCCCTGGAGTCAGGAGGACCTGAATTCAAAGCCGGCCTCAGACACATGATACTTGCTGGCTGTGTGACTCTGGGCAAGTCACTTAACCCCATTTGCCTTGCAAAAAAACCAAAAACAAAACCAAAAAAAACCAGACCTAGTCCTGGAAAGTCAGAACTAAGAGCAAGTACAAGAAGCCAAGTTGGGTTTGATGTCAGGAAGAAACTTCATGATGATCAGAGCTGTCCAAAACAGGCCCAGGATGCCTGGACAGGTGGTGAGCTCACTGTCACTCAGAGTCTTCCAGCAGAGGCTGAATGCCAACGGTTGAGGACATCCTAGAGAGAGAGAATTCTTACTGAATTAAATTGGATTGGAAGGTCTCCTTCCTGCTCTCAATCTATCATTTCATCTTCTTGGGCTTCAGTTTCCTCTTCCATAAAATGACGGGCTTAGACTAGATGCCTTTGATGGCCCTTCTAACTCTGTGCTCCTATGATTCACTCACTCACTTATTCATTCATTCATTCATTCATCCATCAGCAGCCGCTAGAACTTACCAGTTTCAAGGTCCAATGCCAGGTGCCATGGTGGGGGGTGGGGTGGGGATACAAGGATGAATAAGATGTGGTGCAGGAAAGATCACTGGCTTGGAAGTCTGAGAAATGGGTTTGAATTCAGGCTCTGAAACTTACTGAATGATCTTGGACAAATCAGTTTCCCTCCCTTGCCCTCAATTTCCCCTTCTGTAAAATGAAGCAATTAGACTAGTTGAACTTTAAGTAACCTTTTGATTCTTGTAGAGTGAAAAGAGTGCTGGATTTGGAGTCAGAGGACCTGGGTTCAAATCCTGACTCTGTCATTTACTATCTGTATGACCTTGGACAAGTCATTTCCCTTCCCTAGCCTCAGTTTACTCATCTCTAAAATGAGAGGTGGGACTAGATCCCTTCCAGCTTTGACATTTGGTGATTCTACCACCTTTCCCTTCTCAAGTTTCTCTAGATCTTTTAGTAGTCCAGAGCAAAAGAAGCCCAGACCACCCAGGAAAGGCTCATATCATAGAGAAGGAGAAACTTTGATACTTTCATCTTGGGAGTCCTTTGACCACAAGGGAAAGGTTTTCTCTCACTCACTCATTCTCTCTCTCTCTCTCTCTCTCTCTCTCTCTCTCTCTCTCTCTCTCTCTCTCTCTCACACACACACACACACACACCTTTCTTTCCTTTCCTTTCCTTTCTTTCTTCCTTCCTTCCTTCGTTCCCTCCTTCCTAGTTGCCATTGATATAGTTTTAAGATGATGATTAGAGCTGCCTTTATATAGTAACAGAAGATAATAATAATAATAATAATAATACCTCATACATATAATGCTCCAAGATAATAATAGTAGGTGACACATATAGTATTATTATATAGCTGCACATCAAGAGAATAATAACTGACATTTGGATAGAAACCTTTAAGTCAGTCCTAATAACCCCTGACATTTCTGTACTTGTTGATTGATTGTAGCCCTTGAAGGCTGTTGTAACAGCTGATATTATCCACTGACATAAGGTTCACAAAGTGAGCAGCCCATTTGGAAGACCCAGCCCATATTAGTGGCCACACTGGCTCCCTCTCACTGGCAGGGAGCTGGGAGGGCTGCTTTGTGTCTGGGGTGGGAGCGGGAGCAGGGGGGATGCATTCTAAAGTATCAAAGGATTACGTCCATGCCTCAGTGTCTCATCCAAACTAGATGCCATTGCTCACTTTTCTCTTAGGTGCCCAAGAAGAAAGTACAGATGAATCTTGAAGGATTCTTGTGTCTGTAAGATCAGAGCATCCAGTTTGGGCAGACCTCTTGGGCTGGCCCAGCTGACCAAAGACATTCGGACCTGCCAACAGTCAGGGTTGCCCATCTATTGAAATACCATTGAAGGTTATGTAGAACTCTGCTTTTCAGTTCATTAGTACCACTCTCTCACCTCCCCAACCCCCCCTCCCCTGCCAATGACATGCCCAAGGCTCAGGTTAACCACTCTCAGACACAGCTGGGCTGTCACATCCTTCTTGGCTTACTCACTGGGTCACTTGGCCATTGTCCCCTGTTTGATTCTTTTTCCCTTTCCTTTCTCCTGGCTACCCCCTCCCCCTCTCTCTGCTGCAGATGGTTTCCAGGACCCCTCAGAGGAGCTGGCACTGACAGTTCTGTCTCCCAATGGACGCTGTGACGACGTCGAGGGAAGGACAGGAGCCTAGATGGTCACCACCCAGATCCTGGAGTGACAGGCTGTGAGCACTGATGGGACTTAGGACCTTTGGGTTCTGTTCCTGCCCCTGCCTCATCTTGAAGACTGGAGCCGGGCCCTTCCCTGTTCTATGCTCCAGTCTGTTTCCATCCCAAGTAGAAAGTGATGGTACCTGCCACCTCTATACCTTTCACTGGTGTGGTGAGACAGGGTTGGTGATTGAAGAGGAAGTGTGCCTCACTGACCTGAGCAACAGATGGCAAAATTGGGCTCTCTGGGATCTGCTTCTTGTGTTCAAAGCTGTTACTTCATTACTCTATGCCTCAGTTTACCAGTCTGTAAATTGAGGAAAAGATACACCTACCTTGTAGTGGTGTTATATGAAGTCCCTACCTTGGGACAGGTGACATAGGACTTTGTAGATCTACAGTGTTATAGCAATCCTCCATGTTGGTCAATGTGCATGATGGGCTTTGCGTGTGTGCGCAGACAGACACATTCCTCATTTCCACTATCATGTAGTGGAAAGAACATTAGCCTAGAATTTAGGATAACTAGACTCTGATACTAACTCACTAACTGAAAAAGTAGGGGCCTCCACTGCCTTATCTGTAGAATGAAGGGAATGGACCATATGACCTTAAAAGGTCTTTTCCAGCTCTGACTTTCCTAGATTGCATCCTTGAGGATAAATAAATACAGCATAAATAAATACACTGTAAAAAAAAAGTTTCTTAAAAGCACTGGAAGTTCAAACCAAGTCTATACATAATTTGGCTTTTTAATGTTTCACTGATGCCCTTTGCTTTTATGCCACAACATTTTCTTTAGCCCCCTAGCTCACCTCCAAGAAAAAAACACTGAAGTACAATTGATCAGCACCGGGAGCTGCCCTGATGGCAGAGCCCTCCCACTCTGAGATAGTCACTTCTGCCTCTCCACTGAGAGGAGGGAGGCACAATTCATTATCTTGGTCTGGGATTAAGATGGCTTATTTGAACTCTTCAGGCTCTGAAGGCCTTTTAGTGTCAACAAGTCTTAACATTATTGCACTCACTATAATACCATTCATTTTTTTCCCTAATAGATAAAGCACACATTTCTGCAAGTTCTTTAGAGAGTCATAGTAAGAACCTTGCACTGCACATCATAGCTGGTTCTAGGCTCTACTTTGCCACAAATATTTGTCACCTCATTTTTCTGAACTTCAGTTTCTTCCTCTGTAAAATGAGAGCTTGGATTCACTCTCTGAGGCTCTATCCAGCTCTAAAATTCAGTGATTCTTTTGTTTTTATATCCTATTCATTTCAGAATCTATCCCACCTCTGTCCCCTGCCCAGAAGCTCTCCCTTGTGGTGAAGCTCTGGCTCTCTTTTCCAGAGCCAGGCAGGTAACCTCTCCCCTTCAGAGCTTCAAGGTTCCTGAGGGTTGGGGTATTTCTTCTCTACTTCCATGGTCTGAGCCCCGCACCAGCCATGTTTCCCCCTATGTTGGGGACCTAAGACTAATGCCCTAGTTCCATCAAACCACTTAAAATCTCTTGGCTTTTACAAAGGGGTATTTACTTCAAAGATATAGCAAGAACAAATGTACAAACATTTTCCGCAACGCCCCAGGGTGTCCTCTCCCTCATTAGATTAGTTCCTATGTAACAGTGACCCCATCAAGTTTACATTCAATGGTATCATCCAGCGGCTGATTGATCCTTACCCCAGCTGCTTCTGGGCTCAGAGCCCCAAAGTCACCTCTGAAGACAATCAATTCCTCCTTATTCCTTGAACATCCATGCTATGTTGGCTCTAAAACCCAACCTGGATTCCCCCTCCCAGATTCCTTTAACTCAGTCTCCCAACCTTCTGAAACTCCCATGGTTGGAGTCTCTGCTATCTATATTCAGATTTGAAAAGTGCACATGAAAAGGCCAAGGATGGAGGTTTGTTTCTTGGGTCATGTGGCTTTGGAGAGGCCCCCAAATCTTTCCCTTTATGGCATGATCTCTACGAGCAAAGAAGCCTCTGAATAAAGTAAAGAGTGACGAAGAGGGGGTGGCCAATGGCAACGGGTCAAGATTTCCGCATCTAGTTCACCACTAGAACCAGTTACAGAATGTCTATATGTGCTCTCCCCTCTTCCAAGAAACTTCCCATTCATATCATTACAATTCTCCAGGAAACAAGTTCCCTAAATGACCTTCCATGTAGAGAGGCTGTATCAGTCAAAGAAGTTGGTAGGGTCTGTACATGTGTCAGACCCCCATTACAACAAAACAGAAAAGAGAGATAAAGCAGATTCATCGAAACTAGCCCATCAAATCAAGTCTGGCCGTGTATGCGATGTTTGGCACCCATAGTCCCCCACCTTGCAAAGAAGAGAGGGCCGTCTCTCTTCTCATCTCCCCTCCATGTCCATGATCATGACCAGCTCTGTCTAGATTGCTTCATAGAAAAGAGGCTAAAGGCTAGGCTTCTCAGTGCCCCAGCTCCCAGATTCTTCTCCTGGAGCAGTTACGAATGAAGAATAGCATTCAGCTAGGAGCAGGCTGAGAGCCCAGGAAGAAAATGATTCTGTAGCCTTGTGAGAAGGGAGACTTCCATTCTGTGGCCCTCATCTGGAAATGTTGGCTCTGGGAGCCGAGTTCCCCATCAAGCAGATTGAATGAAGAGGAGATTAGTGGTCGGGGGTAACTGGAAATAGGAATCATTCCAGATCTTAGCTTTCAGTGGGGGGCAGAGTTACCCCCAAGGCCATTCAGTCATTGTTCTGAGTGACAGTCTTCCCCTTAGTGTCCAGGAGTCACAGCCTTTTATGAAGAGCTAAGTGAGCCATTTATTCATTTCCCCAGGGAAATTAGGAGCTCCTTTTCACCCTGCCCCCCAGTCTATAAGGAAGAGAGATGGGCTAGAATCCAAATTCAGCTCTTGCTTCCTTTCTGAGGACACCCAGTCTGATGGAAGGATGGGCAACTTCTGCCAAGACATGTCAATGCTCTGTGTTTCCCATTTAGCAAATGAAATGATGCCAACTTCTACCTCTGAAAGCTGTCTCCAGGGGAAGAGTGTGTGCCAGGAGCGGCTGAGAGACCAGGCAATTTCACCAGACACAAAAGCGGCTTGAGTGAAACTAACCCTGGCATTTGGTTGGTTGGTTGGTTGGTTTTTGTTTGTTTGTGTTACATTTTGGTGGCTGATCTCTTTTGTTTTTATATTAGCTTCATCTCCCATGAGAAGCAAGGTAGCATAGCAAATGGAGAGCTGGCTTCACAACCAGGGAGACCTGGGTTTAAGACCTGCCTTTGACCCATACAGGCTCTGTGACCCTGGGCAAGTCACTTGATGCCTCAGGTGACACTTTCTTTTTCTTTCTTTCTTTTTTTTTTTTGCCTTTTGGTGAGGCAATCAGGGTTAAGTGACTTGCCCAGGGTCACACAGCTAGTAAGTGTCATGTGTCTGAGGCTGGATTTGAACTCAGGTCCTCCTGATTCCAAGGCTGGAGCTTATCCACTTTGTGACCTAGCTGCCCCTTCAGGGGACACTTTCAGATAAGATGCAGAGTGGGAGCTGCCTGACCCCCTCTGCCAAGTTGGGTGGAGGCACTTTCCTTGTCTTTGAGCTCCCTATACCAATGAAATCATATATATCTAGACCTATCCCTATCATTTCCCAGTATATTCTTCCTCCCTCCTAGAGAGACATTTCTTATCGTAGAGGGAAAAAAAGACCAAAAAAAAAAAAATTTCAAGAAAGCTAACCAATACATCAACCATGTCTGACATTTCACTGGGTATTATATACCCATAGTCTTCCACCTCTGCAAGTAAGGGAGAGAGGAGCATCCTCAAGGCTCTTCTTTGGGGCCAAGTTTCCAAGATCTTAGTTTTAAATGGGGATGATGATGTTTCTGAGATTGCCCAGGAGGTGGGGGGGGGGATAGATATTTCTAGGGAGCTCTTTCCTTCCTTTTCTCTTGATTTGTCTCTTGAGTAGGGGAGACTTGTCTGCAAGATGGCTCCAGTCTCTTTTTCTGGTTTAAAATTGTCTTTTTAAATCAGTCTTTCTAGATAGGCTTCTTTCCTCCTCCCCCAATGAACCTCCCCTTCTAACAAAGTAGGGCAGGGGAAGTTAAAGAAAACTGACATGTTGATCATATCTGACAATGTGCAGTATTCCCATAGTCCCCCACTTCTTCGCCTTTCCAATACTTTCCGGTATTTTCTGTGAAAAGAAGACATTCTTAACTTATGCCTTCAGTGACTGCCCATTGGGTGCCTGCTATGAGCAGAAAACTGGGCTAGGAATGGAGATCCAAATCTCCAGATTCCTGCTGATTCCTAGCCTGGAGTCTAGGTTCTGCCCTTCCTGAGCCTGTGCTTTCTGGAGCCTTTATTTCCTCATTTGTAAAGTGTTGGTGGACGGTGGTGATAACACTTCCATCGGCACCTACCTCCCGTCCTAGGGCTGTTGGTAGGATGAGACTTTGAGAATGAATAATAATTCAGTGCCAGAGAGACAAGTTGTTATTCTTGTGGCTGTTCCCATCCCCAACTCATGAAGTCCAACAGCCTCACTCCAATCCTCCTGCCCTTGAACCTTCTCTACAAATAATAAACTCATGTTTATTGTTGGTGCACCCATTTTTCTTCTGAAGAGAAGGTCGTTACACCCAGAAGAAGCTTCCTTTGTGGGGCTGACCATCTCTGAGATCTTTAAAAATGGGAGGAACTCCTGGGTCACCTTCATCGTCCTCCAGCTGAGTCTGGGAGGGTCTTCTAGGAAGCCCTGGTGCCATTACTCTCTTGTTTATTTCATGTTTTTGATATATCAACGTTTAATCTTTTCCAACAGGAAGTAACAATCTACTTATTTAATAAAAACCAGATAATATCTTATTTTGTCATAAATTGAGGGAAGGTGCAGACCTTCTGTGGTGAAAGAATTTCCTCACTGAACATTCCCTAGTCCATTGAAATCACAACGGGGCAGAAACCTTGAGGAAGGTTTTTGTTTTGTTTTGTTTTGTTTTTTCAGTTGGGCAGGTCTTTTGCATCTCTTTGCATCCCCTTTGGTTAGTGCGGAGCCCGGAACACAATAGGCATAGAATGTATTGACTGACTGTGTAGCATTCCATTCAATAAGCATATATGAACCATCTATTATGTGCCCGGGAGCTGTCTGCTAAGGCCTGGGAATAGAAAAACATGCATAAAACAGTCCCTGCTCTCAAGGAGCTTACATTCTCCTCGAGAAGAAATAACCCGTGTACAGCTGAACAAATACACATTGGATACGCAGCAAATATATTTGTAGGGGTAGTACAGCTCTAATAAGGCGGGGCAGGGGGGGTCAGTGGCACATGTGGTGAAGCAGCGTGGAAGGAAAGTATTCCAGCATTTATTATGCACCTACTGTGTTCCAGGTACTCTGTCAGGCCCTGGAGATACAAGGATGATAAAATAAAACAGGCTGCCCCCAAAGGAAAGTATTCCTGGGCAAAGGCCTCAGGGAAGAAGTGAAATGTCCACCAGTGTAGGCAGAACTGGAAGGCAGAGGGGTGGTGAGGCCGTGGAGGGAATTAGCTGAAGCAAAGTGAGCTCCCTGCCTTACATTCCCGGAGCTGGTGAAATAGGCAAGAACAGGAGTATATGCAGTGAGGGGGACTTCGAAGGGGAATACAGCTGCCATTCCTTGCCCACTGCCCAGGTGATCACCCAGGGTAAGGGAGCCTGGCATCTGGCTGTGCTTGTTGGACACCTACTGCTGCTGGGTCACATCAAAGAGACGGGCTGCCATGTGCAACCCTCCTGGACTCCAACATTGCTCCCCAGTTGAGAGGGTCTTGGGTCAGCGCAGCTGGGCTAGGGAGTGGGGGTGGGGAACAGATTAGTAGTCTTGAGAAAGAAGTGACTGAGATGGGAGAAATGTGGTAAATTTATAGGTTTTAAGAAGTAAAGACCCTTCAGGGTGGTACAGTGGACAAAGCCCTGCATTTAGAGTCAGAGGTGTAACTAAAGTGGGACCATGGGGCTCTGCCCTAGGGCAGAAATTTAGAGAAATAAAAAATTCACTTAAGGAGCATTTATTATGCACCTACTGTGTTCCAGGCTCTATATCAGGCCCTGGAGATATGAGGACATTAAAATAAAATAAAACAGAATCTGCCCTCAAAGGGCTTACAAACAGAGAATAAGCTCTACCTTCATAACATCTCTCCAATATGGCCCCTGCTGTCCTCTGACACTGCCACTACTCTGGTACAGGCCCTCATCATCTCACACCTGAATGTTGCAATAACCTACTGGGGATGGAGGTGGGAGTGGGGGGGTGTATCTGCCTGCCTCGAGTATCTCCCCACTCCAATCCATCCTCTATCCAGCTGCCAAAATGTACAAGTCTGACCCTGTCTGATCAAATAGGCTCTAACAGCACCCATACGGGCAGATTCAGGGGCTCTAGGAGCATGCCCAGTGGCAGGGGCAGTGGCAAAGGCAGGCAGGCCCAATCATAACCATTTGCCCATCACAATCTAGAACTGGTTGGCCGCCACCTCAATGCCACCAATACAATACCCAGGGTCATTGCAACACTGCTCCCTGGGGGACTTGGAGCACCAAAGGGTGACTTGGTTGGGGGGAGGAGAGCATCTTGTTTTCTGGCAACAAGGAAGAGATGAAATCATCTACCCACCCCCAGAAGAAGAGAGGCCAACTCTGAGAGGCCTCTAATGGGGCAAAGATTTGGTGATTGTCCTTCCAGGGGAATGGAACTTTTCTTCTTTCAGTGCTGCCTGTCAAGTTCCTTGCATCCTTAAGGTCAAAGTTGAGCAGTGACAGTCCTAAAGTCATTTACATGATGGAAGGCCCCCTAGAAGATTGTAAGGACCTTACCCCCAAGGAGTGGAATGTGGTAGGAGCAATAACCCAACTACTGCCCCTCTCCCTGCCCTACCCACCCCCTGTGTAAGTTGGGCCAGTTTTTCTTAAAAGGTATTGAAAACACTATTGAGTCTTAATTGGTCTAGGGGAATAAAAGCTCCAGCTGTTGGCATCACTTCCTCGTCACTCAATATAAAACAGACATAAAGGCTTTAGCCTTTCTCTTTGTTTTGGCTAGCAGACCACGAGGGGCAAATCAGAGGTAGGGAAGCTTCCACAAGATGAATCAGTTTATGGAGTCCTCAATGAATATCCTTGTTGGCTGTTTAAACCTCCTTTTGTGGACTGTTGTATGCACAAGTGTGCCATTTTGTTCTAATGCTGAACCTAAATCTAATGTTGAACGTGGGGACTGGCTCAAGTTAAGCTTTGCCCAGAACACACAGGTACAAAGTGGCAGAACCAGGACCTGAGCTCAGATCCCTGGGGTTGAAATGCACATCTTCCCCTCCTCGCCTCCCCCCCATCCCAATGAATGTATTTTTTTTTTTAATGACTTGCCCAGGGTCACATAGCTAGTAAGCGTCTGAGGCCGGATTTGGACTCAAGGAGATGAATCTTCTTTACTCTAGGCGCAGCATTCTGTGCACTATGGTGTTCCCTAGCTGCCCCCAGCCGTGACTCTTCAAGCACTACCCCAAGGATATATCTTATCACCTTCCAAGGGTTAAGAAGACTGACAGGGACCTAGTACATGCTTCCATCTCTTTAACTCCAATGGTTACAAGTGCAGGTAGAAAGAAAGACAGAAAAAGATAGAGAGGGAGGGAGGGAGGAAGCAAGAAAAAGAGAGAGAAGGAAGGAGGAAGGAAAGAAGGAAGAAAGAATGAAAGAA